TCACCAACGTCAACTAGAGGCCTTCCTTCAATAGGCGAAGGCCAACCACCCTTTTACAGTTTCACTCCTTTTGACGGGCTTAGGAGACAACCCTTACAGAAATTTCTCTCCTCTCTTTACAACTCAGAACTTGGAAGAAAAGAGGAAGGAGAACTTTTGGCCTTTACAACAATTTTAAGCTCTAAAAATCACTGAAAAAGATCAAGATTTCGGGTAAGTTCTTGCTCTTTCAGTGCTGAATGGGTGGGGTATTTATAGGCCCCAACCCAGTTCAAATTTGGAGCTCAAAACTATCAATTCTCGGAATTCCGGGATCAAGCGGTTGCACCTCCTAACTGGGGCGGTTGCACCGCCTAGCAGAGCTCGAAGACTGAGCCTCTGGGCGGTGCCACCTCTGTCAGGGGCGGTTGCACCTCTCTGCCAGAGCTCGAAGACCGAGCTCAGGCGGTTGCACCTCCTGACTAGAGCGGTTGCACCGCCTGGCAGAGCTCGAAGACTGAGCTCAAGCGGTGCCACCTCCTGTCAGGAGAGGTTGCACCGTCCAGTCTCGCTTGGAGACTAAGCCCAGGCGATGCCACCTCCTGGCTGGGGCGGTTGCACCGCCCAGCCTCGCTGGGAGACTTAGCCTAGGCGGTGCTACCTCCTGGCCTGGGCGGTTGCACCTCTTGGCACTATTTCAGATCACTGGTTGGGCTCCAAACTTGGCCCAAACCAGTCCGAATTCGAGCCCAATTGGCCCCTAACTGGGTTATAATATTAACACCTAATCCTAACCCTAATTAACGTGCTAACTATGAATTTAAAGACATTTCTTAAGCTATTACAAAGTCCGCAAGTCAAGACTTCTTCCGGCGAGCTTCCGGTGAACTTCCGACGGTCTTCCGATAAACTCTCGGAAACCGTTCTGCGGACTCCCGGCAAGCTCCTAGACTTCACGATTTGATCTTGGCGAGTTCCGACGAGCTTCTTTGGCAAGCTTCTGGACTTCTCGGATTTGTTCCCGCAAAACCTCCAACGACCGTCCGAACTTCCGTCGAACTCTCGAACTCCCAACGTGATCATAGTCTTGACTCCAACGCAACTCCAGCTATATGTCTTACTTTCATCGTAGTTAATCCTGCACATGTAAAACAAAAACTTCGATCGAGACAATTAATCCTAAGCAATTAACCAAGTTGTCCGGCATGTCATTGGTCCCTCGACGCTTCGTCCGATTCTTCGGCGCATCGTCCTCTCCTACGGCCTAATGCCCAATCGGCCAGTTGACTCTGCAACTCTGATATCCTTGGCACAATACCCGCTCTTCTTGGCCCGATGCCCGAGTCCACGGCCCGAAGCCTTCTGTCGATACGTCGACCGATCCACCGGCCCGACGTCCAATCTTTTAACATGTTCCTCCGGCCCAACATGATTTTCCTGCTTTAATTGTCTCGAAGTATCCTGCGTCACTTAAAACGTAGATTAAATCACAAACATACATCAAGTGGTTTCATCATCAAAATACGAGATTCAATGGGGCCGATCAGATGTTGACTTAAATTGGTCAATATCATGGTAAATTTGTATTTGAGTATGACCTTTATGGCATTTTTGGCCAAATCATAAAGTAATGTTCACTTAAATGGGTCAATACAATTGTAAATTTGTATTTGCGTATGACTTTTAGGGCATTTGTTCCAACTAAAAAAGTACGGACTTTCTAAGGAATTTGTCCTATTTTAATTATATATATATATTATTATTATTATTATTTAAGTATGACTTTTTTTTTTAGATGGGTTTAGATGGGCAAACAAACATCGTTTGATATCGAATGTGATAGGATCTCATCACATCATTTTTAAGCCTTTATTTAGTTTTAGAGGCCTCAAAATGTGATCTTATAGTAATGGAATAGGAAACTTACAATACGTTGAAAAGGAAAATTAGACTTTTTTTTAAGGACTCCAAAATCCATAATGAGTAATCTTTTAAAAATATTTTTTTAAAAAAAATCATTATTTTCTTATAACTCTTAAGAATGTGAAACTCCATTTAAAGAGGCTTTGTAATTTAAAAAAAAAATCAAAACCTAAACATGAATTATATCACACAGGAACCACATTTCTAATTAGCAAAATCAACACCTTACCTTCATATCTTGTTTTTGTTTCTCACTTTTGATTCAACCATCCCAAGCGATCTGCCAAACGGGCTTTGATCATTTTGTGTTAATTTAAAATTATTTGTTCAAATCGGAATCGGAATCAAATATCTCACTTTCCAAGAATATAATTTCTGGCAGAATGAATTATGAATATTTCTTGTATTTATTTTTAAATTATCAAAATTGAAAATGATATGATTAGGAACATAAACAAGAGAATGACTGTGAACGTAGGAAGAAAGTGGAGTGACAAGGCCTAGTTAATCTCTAGAATGTTAATTTATGAACCTCTAAAATGTTAAAGTATAGACCTCATTGTGTTTTCATATTTTTATATAATAAGTCATGAGGATGGAATTTGATTCTTGGGCTCACTGTAAAAAAATTATCTAATGAGGATATGAAATATTAAATCTCGATCTTTCATTGTAGATATGATATATTATCATCAGATCATGGTTTTAGGTATAAAATTTATGTAGTAATATTTTGAATTTGACAAAATATAGACCATCCAATTTTTACTTGCTATATGTGTTCTTTATGTCCTCATGGACAACAATTGCTGCAGAAGGTAGCCATGACCAACTGTCTATACATGATCATTCTAGAGAAGTAAAATTTGTATGTGAGAAGGCTTCCCTTCTCTAATGTGTTCATGGAATCTGGTGAGCTGTCTATACTGTTAAGACAGCAACAATGAATACCCCTCTATTCTGAGGACACCAGAGATTAAATTTCCTTTAATGTTTGGATGTCACATCCGATGGAATTTGATGGATGTTGCTTTCTTTATTATGGCTCCAAGCTTGGCCTAAGATGACATCCACAAAGGCTGTTTTCCAAATAAATAGGATGATCTTGGCATTTGATTTGCTAATTAAATTGATGACCATTCATCTACTTTTCATTAATATAAATCATAATCAGCAGATCACAAGTCTCGGTACAATGCTCGGAGAAGAAACTCTGCAGATGAAAACATTCATATCTCTGTACTATCCCTTGATTATTTTATTGCCTTTCCAGGATTTAAATAATATCTATGAGATCAAAGTAGAGATACACTGATCAAAGTAGAGATATAATTTCTTCCTTTTAATTTAGGGATAAAATAAATATATAGACAAAGATAGCACTGATGTAGTTGAGAAAAATTCAAGACAACAAGCCTGAAATAAAAAGCTATTGAACTTGAGGTTCTTGTGAGGCTGTACTGTTCTCAACCAGCATGGCATTATAATAAGAAACATAGACACCAATTTGCAATGTGAGGCAGGCCAGCACTGGACCACCATTGTTACAATTTGTTTGCAATTGTCATTTGATGCAGAAAAGTGCAGCATACACAGCTGTGATCAGACAAATGCTACCACCGCCATGCCTGCAACAGGGCACAAGAATCAGGAGCCACCCCACACACACCCAGCCACACTGGTAAAAACTCTACCTTTGCATGAGACATGCATGAAAGATCACCTTGGGTAAGGATAGTTCATAGTTTATACAGTACTATATCTTTTCTGTGCAACCGGGTTTATATATATTTATTTTCTTAGGATATAAACAAAAGTAGGGATTTGTACATGGATAGAAAATTCGGAGAACAGTTTATGTTATGATCCTTCAAAGACATACACTGTCCTATGGAGAAACAATCTATTGGGTCTTCTTGATAAGAGTTTGAGCTACAGAAATAATATTTTGATCTCCTCAGATCCTATACTGTAGAGAAACAGTGGAGATGAGTTGCACCCATCAAATGTGAGATATTTATGTAGGTTGATGGTTTATGTTCTTTGATTGCTGCTGAGCCCTCATTTTTCTTCATTCTCTGCCTCGATAGTGAAGCACATGGACATTAAATTCTGGTCATATCACTTTTATTATACGAATCACCATAGACCGGATGGCTCACGGGGACTACAACTCACATCTTTGGTAGTTGGTTCTCCTTCCTCAGACCCACCAATGTACTGGAAATGCTGGAGACTTAATTAGTTCTTTCTTGTACTTAATGCCTTAGGCCCATGCATGCTAAATCCTGTCTTATCTTGCTTCCCCATCTGCCGCATGCAGAATAAAGAGTGAAAATATTTGGGTTAATCAGTGCAGTTCTACATGGTATTAGACAACAAACAATCAAGATATTAGAGTGAAGCATATATATATATATATATATATATATATATATATATATATATATATATATATATATATATATTTATTTATTTATTTATAAGAGATCATTTGGTCGGTCTTGATGCGGCCCGTAGGCTCGTTATTTTTGGGCAATGAGCGTATCCGTACAGTTTTACCCTTTCAAAGCATGTAAACTCTAAAAAAACACCTTTAAAAGTAAGAGAGATTTGACGAATTTATGAACTCTTCGTTCTCATACTTTTCAACGAATATAAAATTAAATGAACCTTTAATTCTCATACTTTTCAACGATTATGAAATTAAATGACCTTATCATATATATATATATATATAGTTGATTATTACAATAATACTATTACATGAAGAATTAAACTTCTCCTTTTGTTTACATTTGCAATACATTTCTGCTTCATGCTTACAGTTTTCCTTTAGAATTGTGAGTATAATGCAGTAATAATTCACTTGCTTTTGATTCTGGAAAGCTTGGTGGAATCATCAAGAAAGCATGGCAGAACAAAGTTAGAACATGGACAATGAGCAGCAATCAACAGGGAGATCCATCAGCTCATCCACCTGTCCCGAGGCCTCGTCGAAGAGCCATTTCTCCAACAAGGACAATGGCGGTTGGTGGTTCTCCCCACCTTGCGTGGCTTCAGCATCGCCGAAGGACGCCTTCCCCGCGGCGGTCTTCTCCCAGGAACCGCCGCTCACCTTCTCGAACGACAGCAGTGTGCCGAGGTCTTCATGCGTCATGGCCGTGCTGCATCCCTGATCACCCGCAGCTCGACTCTTCTCTCTGACCGATGCTGCTGCAGTGGCGTCATTGTTGCTGCTGTGGCTGTCATCAGCAATGGCACGCTCTTGCAGCTTCCCTTGGGTGTTCTTCTTCGAGGAACGCGTCCATCCTTCGAGAAGCCTGGAGATGTTCCCGGTGCTGCAGGCATAGATAGGGGGTGTCAGGCGCATACTGGGGAGTGGGAACGTGAGGACGGTGATGTCTTGCTTCCTCGTTTCCATGTCATAACCCTCGGGCATGTAGTCATGACAGCTGGGGCTCGTGCCAGAAGACATGTTGTAGCCATCAGTAGCTGTGTGGGACTTCTTGATCTTCTTCTTGAGGTGTGTGTTCCAGTAGTTCTTGATATCATTGTCTGTTCTCTGGGGAAGGTAAGAAGCTATGGCTGCCCATCTAACTTGGAGATAAAACCGCAACGGAAGAAAGTTAGAGAAACCTAATTCGAAGCTTAACACGCCAATTTGATCATGAAACAGATTGCAATGTAGCAAGATTGTGGGAGGAGTTGAGGAAGATTACTTGTTTCCAAGCAAGGACTGCAGATGGATGATGATTCCCTCTTCGTGTGGAGTGAAGTTGCCACGTTTGATTCCAGGCCTGAGGTAGTTTGTCCATCTTAATCTACAGCTCTTGCTACATCTCATCAGGCCTGCAAATCTCAAGATATCATTACCCGAAAAAGAAAAGAAAAACCTGCTTTAAAAACAGATAAAAATATAGAGAAGCAAGCATTACAACAAGACCACAAGATCATTCGAGCTTGTCATTTAATTAACATTAGTATCATGAGAATAAAGCAAGATAACAAAGAGAAAAGAAGTAAATTCCTTAAAAGAAAGGCAGAGGGAGAAGGGTAGGCATTTACTTAACATTAGTATCATGAGAACAAAACAAGATAACAAAGAGAAAAGCAGAAAATTTCTTGAGAGAGAGAGAGAGAGAACAGTGCAAAGAGAGAGATGACTTGGGAGCAGAAAAGGTATGGCAACTTCACCGGTGTTTGAAGGAACTGATCTCCAGTTTCCAGGGCCGTGCTCTTGGATATAGGAGACCAAGATGATGTCCTCCTCAGGAGTCCATGGTCCTTTCTTGATGCCAACCTTGTCACAGCAGGGAGGCCTCCCCATTGCTACAGCTTGATGGCTTACTACTGCCTCGATGCCTCCTCCGCCTCTCTTCTTCCCTTTTGTTCTGTCCCCTACAGGTGTCTCATGAGCATGTGAGGCTCTTATATACACACGGAGCTCCTTTTCACCTATCTGCTCCTTTCCCTTCTCTTGCTCACATGAATCATTTGCTTCCCAGAAAAGTAGAAACCACCAGATAGCAACTATTAAGCATCGCTCTCTGTGAAGAACCCTAGCTGGAATGCTGCATACTGAACTGGAAATGGCAGCAGACGAAATAAATAACTCATGCATATAATTCCACCAGTTGGGTAGATCGATCCTAGTGTATCTGTCACTGCAGAAAGCAATACATAGGTTCAACAACGATCACACATAGCATGATGAAACAAGGAGTACGATTGATCCTTGTCATGGGTTGGCCGATCGAGAGTTACAAGTACCATGAACACATGCAACCCTCACGTACATGCAGGATAAGTGAACAACGGAGTTGCGTCTACATAACGCAAGACATGAATAGAGTTACCCGAAGATGCATTCCATGTGCAGTCGCTTTTGCTTGTGCACAAGTGTGTACGTATGTGTGCATTTTGATGTTACTGCATCCACGCAAGAAGAAAAATGCATGGGACCTCATGGATTTGATGCATTAGCATATGAACTCAACAAGCAAAAGAAAAAAAAAAACTCAAAAAAATAATAAATACGGATGAAATTTGGAGGTAAATTATTTCCATGCAAGATATAAAGAGAAAGATACAATTCAGATTCTCGAAATGTGATCGTTATCACAGGTTTGATCATTGTCTGTAGATGAATCACAATGTTAATTGCAGTTGAATCAATTCAAAATAGACAGGCTGCTAATCCATGGCCTCTCATATTTCACCATATGAGCTCGGAACACAGTGTAGAGATCATTGCTAGGAAACCTCATGTCACATGATGAATTCTCCCTCCACCATCCATGGCATACATTGAAACACAAAGTCAATTGAATGTATATAAGAAACATACGAATATACTGTAGCCATCTGAATGTACATTGATCTTGTAGTGGATCTTCCGTGCCTAATAGATGGAATCAATACAAAGCATTAAAACTTGATAATGGATTAAATAAATCAATAGCTTAAATAGGTTTTCAGTGCCAAGGATCAAAAGATAGGTTCAAAGGGAACACTTATAAATTGATCAGGTAACAGTCTAAATCATTCTATCTAATCTTCTTTATGGTACATTTATGATCTCCACCTTGACCAGGTCAGTGTGGATAAACAGTCAGTTCTTTTGAAAAGGATGAATGCAATATTATCAGTTGGTGCATTCTTTTATATTCTTCAACTTAGATTTATAATCCTTCGTCAAGTAGCTATTCAGCCATTTGTGACAATTGCTAGAATTCCGGAACGTTGAACCAATCGGGAGCATATACAGGAGAAATGGAAAGGCATTAACTGATGAAGGATACAACAGCATTTAAACACTTGGAGGTTCGTAGAAAACTGAATCAATCATGTGATTGAGGAAGGTCAACCATTAGGGAACACATCATGTTGAGAGGATGAGGAGAAAAATAAAAATTAAATCCAAAGCTTGATAATTAAAAAAATCTACGAGAAAAAAAATTAATGTGGTTTGACAATTCTCATCTACATCCATAAAAAAAATTAAATTCTCTAATATCAGTTATAATATATTTAAATTATCATCACTTAAATATGATTCTACTTATATACCCTCTTATATAAACATAGAAGAACGTTTCTCTCGATCCTCCCTAGATCCAATATAGAGAAATTCAAGAATACCCAAAAGGTATTTTGTCTCTCCTCTCATCAGAATATTGAGACTCAAGATATATTTATAGGAATAAGTCATAATCATGTAATCTTAATTAAATCTAAATTCTAATGTACCAAGGAGTTTGAATTTATTAGAATTTCTCCTAAGTAATTAGAATCTTCTAAAATACTTATCAACCTTAACAATCTTTACCTTGGTAAGTATTTTTTCACTTTGTGTCTCCTTCAAAAATTAAACCATTGGTTTGAAGAATTTATCACAACTACACAAACTAAATCAGTTTATTGCCCAACACCCGATTTCAATAAACCAGTCGATGCATCCTATGTCGTTGAAATCGAATCAATATCACTACTTGATTTCAAAGAGAGACATCTCACCATCTTACTACTAGTAGGATTTTTCTCATCATAATTGTTTGTATCCTAAAATCATAAATATTATCTTTCATTTTTTTATCATAAACATAACACGTTACTAAAGATACCTACCATCCCTACATGTGTATTCTAGTTTTAGTTGTTTGAGATATTTATAGTAATTTTTTATATACGATATAACCCTAGATGCAATCTTCCTTTCATTAGGATCATGCAACCTCGAGTAACTTCTAAAACTCTACCTCCAACCTTGTAGTCACCGTAAAAATCTAAAAGACTCAAAAATATTAAATTCTTTAGTATCTTTGAAATATAAACCACATCCTTCGAAGTTTGCACCATTTCATTAAATGTCTTAATCTTTACTTTACTGACACCCATGACCCCTATCGTCAAATTATCACACAAACTTAATTTATTAGTCATCTTATAATTTAGTCAATCAACAATGCAATCCCTTTGAGTGTAAACACAGGTAATGATAGGGCATATTTTGGCCCTAGATGAATCACCAACAACATCACACACCGTTAGACACCAATGCAACGCCACACGCCATCGAAACCACGGGGAGCATGCCACGTCAAGTTCAGTACCAATATACTATGCGACTTGACCTCCCCGAGAGCTCGGGGAGGTGCCGTCTGCTCTTGGGGCAGTGTCGTCTGACGCCACTCGTGCACTCCCAAAGATGTCATCTCGTTAGAGAAGTCGTCCCGCCCCCACGAAAGTCAGCGGCCACGCCAAACCGAGGCGCAACCAACCATCGCACATAAGTATAAATACCCTTGTCCGATGCCCAGCCGAAGGGGAAAAAAAAGGAGAAGAAACACAAAAGGGCGAACTGAACTGGCTTGCTCGTCGGAGGGGCCAAAGTCGGGAAGCACCCGACGAAGGCCATTTTATAGGGAGGTGGTCACCCCCGACTGGCGGGCGTCTTCTCCCCGAAGTCATCATCTAGTGCACAGAAGAGAGTGGTTCATCGGTTCGGATCCCAACCAACGCTAGCCTGCGCCTCCCATCCCAAAGGCACGCCCACGTTGCGAAGAAAGGTTGCTAACCACCTCGGGGACAAGAGGACACATCCCGGCACAAACGACACTCAAGTCGGTAGACCTCGGAGCGCCAACCCCTAGCCACTCGCGTGGACTCAACCGACTCTGCCGGTCCAACTCTCGCCCAAGACGCTCAAGAGACGCAGCCACCTCATCATCCTATTCATTCCACCAGAAGTTCCCAACGTTAGCCCGCGGACCAAACCATGCTGACTCACTAGCCACGATACTTTTGTTCCCTAACAGGTAACATAAGTAGAATATAAAAATAAACTCCTTTAGAAAAATGCATTGTTACCTTTAGAGATTGTGATAACATCTTAATCATCATTTATTAAAAGAGAACATTTATCGATCTCTTCTTTTATGTTTTTTTTCCTAAATAATTTTGCCTAACATATCCATACTCTTTGGATCTATAAAATTAAATATCATCCAAAGACTCTTGATCTTGACCAACCATATTGAGATCCACCCCTATTAGAAAATTATACTTTCACCCTGAGTAATTAATGCATCATCATCTATATTCTCATATTTATCCATTTTCGTTGGTAGGATGACACACTAAAGTTTCTTTAACTTATTATAGAGTTATTATATCATTCCCATATAATATCATTTTTATAAAGTCATCATAGGAGTCCATGTAAGAAGCAACAATACTTATCTTTGTTATCGATCTTCACGTTAACTTTCTTCATTTGATCTAAGATTTTTTTTAATATGTTTAGATACTCAACTAAGTGTTTATCTTCTTTCCTCCTCAACCTATATAACTTATTAGTTAAGTTTTTAGCTAGATAAAATTTTTCTAATTATCCTAAATAACCATGATAGAGCCTTCATCAATAACATTATTGATAATATTACCAGTGATGTAAAGATGAATAGTACTTACATATTTTACCTCAAGCTCCTCTAATCTTTGTCACTCATCTTTTCTAATTTGTCTGCTTATTTCTTTAGTATTCTTACTGGACCTTACCAAATAAGAAGATCATTTACTTATTTTATCATAGTTTCACGGACTTAGATTTGCCTAAGTTATGTGACACCCTTACGTGTCTGTTCGCTCAATCTCTTACTAACCTCTTAGGATCCCTTTAAGGACCTAAAAATAGAAGATAGATAAAAAAAAAACATTATACTCAGAACCCCACAAGTAGACATTTTAGTTTATTCCTGATAAAAGTTATAAATATAGACTTTACAAGGTCCGAGTAATCCTATGATATTTTTAAAGAATTCTAGGAGGTCCACTATGGTTAAAAGTTTTCACAATTTCTCACATGACACTATTGTAGAATAAGATAGCGAATCAATCCTAGATACTATCCCAAAGGCCTATCAAATTATATGCCACCTAGGTAGCACTAAAGTGTTATATTTGCTAATACTTTGCACTACTATATGGAATAAAAAAAATCTAATGATTGTTTAAATGATTTATTTTTAAGTAATTATCTCCACGCGATGACTATATATAATCTATGTGTAAAAGATTGAAACGACTACAAAAGCCATCCACAATGAAGCTACCAAGTCTACTATAAACCCACTAAATGTTATGTAAAGTATAAACAAAATCGAAAGACATAAACACATAGAAATATTGTATCGAATATATTATGTACAGACTTGTATGTGATATTCTTCTCTACTTATCTGTAATATTCTTCTCGTCGAAACCTTTATTAAAACTACATCTCCTCGCCTTTGTTAATTCTCAAATCTTCTATTTTAGTTACAATGCACCTTCCTTGGTTTTCAGTTGCTATCCACCATTATTGTTAAGTAGTCGAACTTTGATTCACCAATGCTGCTTCAACTTACAAGTAACTCTAACTCCAATTTGGGGTTGGCCGAGTTTGGCTTATCTTCGTTGATTCCTATAGGTCATTCAAATGAAAGAAAAGACATTCCTTGTTATGCATCATTCTTTTAAACGTCTTGTGTCGCTTAAGTTGGATGAATATTTGTTAGAGATTTAACGAGCAGTATCTCATAAAC